GGTAAGTGTGACGATTTAACGTTTGACCATCAGGTCTAAATATCGCGTTCTGCTTATCGATGTATTATGTGCGTGTTTTTGTCCGCTCGCATATTGATTTCAGTAGGAGGGGCGCCCGTGACATTTCTCGGGTTGAATACATTAGAACCGATGCAGCTGCCACCACAACAAAAACAGTAATGGTGTCAGTGATTTAGTTAGAATGTCATAAATCATAGCAGAGCGTAGCCACAAACCCACACCCATAATCGATGAGGTTAATGGTCTGCGTCCCCTTTAAGATGGTTGCTTGAGCCTCCTGTGTGGGTTGGTCACTTCAAAAGGTACTTCCATTTACATTATATCTGCTGTGTTCGCCTTAGAAATTGGGGATGTGTCTCAAAGCCTTATGAGCTGTCTATCTAGACAGCATGCTTGTGCTGACAGACAAGTGATGCTTTCTAAATAGGCAGCTCACTATGGTTTGAGTCAAGGCTACAGTAGCGTCGTTATGCTTTCGATTGCGGTTTATCCATGTCCGTTTTGTTGCCATTAGAAAGATACCAGCTTCAGAGAACAGATAAAGGGCGTGAGGTTAGTCACCGTTCAAGTGAGCCTTTTTTAACCAGATTGCGTCTGAGTACTAGCCAGAGACAGCTGACTATATTATGCATACAATGAAGTCCAAAAATCCATTTAAAAATCTGACACGTTAAACATGGAATATATGAGATGATACTCTATTACCAGGCAACGATACAAATGCAAGCAAATTTGTGACACTGCCCAGAACTCATTTTTGCAAAAGGTCAGATGTTCTTGCTTTCACTGAAGCACACAGTGTTCTTTGCATCATTCTCAGAGCTTGCTGGATATTATGCTGGAATTTCGTGTTAATTTTCATCTCAACTTTTCACTTATTTTATAATGACAATATAATTTGGAAAAAAAGCCAAAACTGGAAGTACTTTTATTGCAAAACGGGGTTAGTTGTCACTTTTTTACTTTATTTCTTAGCACTGATTTATATTTAAAAGATCAAATCTGTATCTGTAAGGCACAAATCTTAAACTCTTGACTACAAAAACATTTGAACATTTCTACCATGTAAAAAGATACAATTCATTTAACATATTTTGCCCACTTATGACAAGGTGCCACAGTAGTGTGGCTTATTTTGGCACACTTCATTATTATTACAGTGTGATAAATATAAATTAATTTTAAATCTTAATATTTGTCATTTAATTAATTTATTTTTAAATAAGTAAATAACTTTACAATTTATTTTTTATTTCTGTATTTTTAGATGATCTCTTATTTTATTTTTAATCATTATTATTAAATGTATTATTTTATATTTTTCATATTAAAATTAATTGTTAATACAATAATAATAATAAATGTTAAATATTTATAATACTAATATTTAAAAATGTTAATATTACATATTAATGAACATTGAACACCAAATATTACTTAATAATTATAAAACATTTGATATGCATGTGACAACTTGCTCCAGCTTTACATTTGTGAAAAATACTATACCCTACCTTAAAAGACAGTTTGCTTTTAGTCGTGACCAGTCCAACAAGTTATGTGTAAGTGCTGCTTCCATATTGCAAGATGGGTGTGTGGTGTTCAGTTGAAGTAACTGCATTCCTAAAGTACAGCATCAAACACTCATCATTAGGGCGTTCATCAGCACTCGTTTCCAGAATTAGTCCTTAAACCACTTCTGGATTTTCTTTCATTCTGCCACACATCATGTTTCTCCTGAATTGGTCTGTAACAACTTGAATTGTGGCTCGTAATTAGGATGAGTAATACAGGTAGGTCTTTAAATGTGACATTATTATCATGTTGCCATGGAGGTTTGATTCGCATGTTTGGCTTTCACTGAACATACTGAAATCGACTTGAATTAGAATAAACTGAGATGACCTACTTATCTTTTTTGCTTGTCGCCTCTTTTTCTTTTTTTTCTTCTTTATCTTTGGCAGTCTGTTAAGGCAAGCCCACACACTCAAGAATAGATCACTTGGAGATGGGTGGAGTGATGGCAGTGCATGAGCTATGAGAATAAAACCACGGAGTTTAATACTTTTGTTTAACTATGTGAATTTGAAAAATAATGTATGCATCACACTTAACTGCACTGTTGCTCCAGTGTCGGCATTTAAATGGCCGGGTCTGCAAATGCACTTTTTATTTCGGCAGAAAATCCCATTTGAACACAGGGGACTCCTGTTTCATTTACGGCGAGAGAAAATGGGTCTTCCGGCCCTTTCTTTCTGCCAGTTGCATTTCTGTAATCTAAATGTGGCCTAGATTGCGAGCTTTCCAAGGGTTTCCTGGCAACCAGAGCAGGTCATTGATGAAGCTCACCATTTCCGTGCGTATGTGAGTGTTTGTGGGAGTATGAGAGATTTTTTTTCTTTGTCATTTTGTTTGTAGATAATAAGGAAGCTCAAGTTACCTATTAACTTCATCACTTACTTCAGTCTAAACCTGCATGACTTTCTGTATTCTGTAGAATATCTCCGTTTTTTTCTCAATATCTCCTTGGCTGCTGTTAAATTTGTTTGATCTTTTATGTACTACTATTTAAACTCCTTTTAATATCAATTTAGTCAATGGAAATGTTTCTGCTTGTTTTAACCCCTTATTAAAAACCTAATTTAGATTGTACAGTTGTAAGTAATTAATGACCTTTACTAAAATGACCTTTTTATCAAATGTTTTCGAGAAGGTCATTTTATCACAACTTGTTACAACTTGTCTAACAGATGTGTTCCAGTCAGGTTTAGGACCCTTCATATTACAGAATCTGGCCTCCTTAACAGGAGTTAAGTTGACTAGTTGACTGGATATTCAAAGGATAGATCTTCAGTTTGTATTGGTCATTTGTGTTCTGCATTGATTCAATTAAACAGCGGTGTGCCACAGGGTTCTATTCTTGGGCCTGTTTTATTTTCATTGTATATTTGCCCATTGGGCTACATTTTTCATAAACACAATATTTTGCATCATCTGTGTGCTGATGAGACCTAGCTATATATCCCAACTTATCCATCCTTCAATTAATCGCCATCCTTTGATGCACTTGTACATTGCTTAGGTGAGGCTAAAGCCAGGTTTGCGAGTGATTTTCTTCATCTTAATACCAAAAAGACTGTGTGTGTTGACTTTAGACCCCCATCTTCCACTAAGGAAATTATAAGTAGGCTGTGTTTTAAGATCATCCTAAGAATTTGGGTGTTGTCACGGATTCGGCTTTGACTCGAGATACACAGGTCATTAGTGTTGTCAAGGTTGGGCTCTCCCAACTCAGAATTATTTCTGAATTGAAACCAATTCTCTTCTTTAAAGACCTGGAAACTGTCATTCATGCATTTGTATCATCATGCATTGATTACTGTAATTCTTTATATATATATATATATATATATATATATATATATATATCTTCTGTAGAATGAAATGCAACCGTCCATCTGTCAAGATGGAGGACAAGGACTTCCCCTCAACTTGCTCTAAAAAGAAAGGTATCACTCACTTTGCAGGTAGTTTGCATGGGATAAAAGACTCTGAAAACAGAGCAATAAACAGAAAAAAAACTAATAGATATTAAAAAAATTAAGTGTGTGTATGTAAACAATATTTTTTTAAATATAATCTATAATTTGAAAATAACAGATCGTCATATTTGTGATTTAAAATGTAATTTCTATAATCTAAATAACATGCATAACAAAGTTATTGCATAACAATAACAAAATAACATCCCATTTTATTACAAAGAACTTAATTTCTGAACTTATTTGTTTAGCTTTCTTTGTATGTATGGATTACTTGGATTGTTACCGACATCTGGTGAAAATTTCATGCCAACAGCACCTTTAAAAATATATTTACTGAGAAAAATGGTGATGTGTTCAATACTTATTTTACCTGCTGTGTGTGTGTGTGTGTGTGTATATATATATATATATTGGAATTAACCTTGTCTTCTCAAGAATTAGGATAAAAGTCATTAATTGCTTTTGAACGAACAATTACTATTAAATGTTAAAAGCACCTTTGAGCTATAGTACAGTGGGTACGGAAAGTATTCAGACCCCCTTAAATTTTTCACTCTTTGTTATATTGCAGCCATTTGCTAAAATCATTTAAGTTAATTTTTTTCCTCATTAATGTACACACAGCACCCCATATTGACAGAAAAACACAGAATTGTTGACATTTTTGCAGATTTATTAAAAAAGAAAAACTGAAATATCACATGATCCTAAGTATTCAGACCCTTTGCTGTGACACTCAAATATTTAACTCAGGTGCTGTCCATTTCTTCCGATCATCCTTGAGATGGTTCTACACCCTCATTTGAGTCCAGCTGTGTTTGATTATACTGACTGGACTTGATTAGGAAAGCCACACACCCGTCTATATAAGACCTTACAGCTCACAGTGCATGTCAGAGCAAATGAGAATCATGAGGTCAAAGGAACTGCCTGAAGAGCTCAGAGACAGAATTGTGGCAAGGCACAGATCTGGCCAAGGCTACAAAAAAAATTCTGCTGTCCAGACTGTGTTCAGGGGCCCGACGATCTTTCTTCTGTAGAATGAAATGCAACCGTCCATCTGTCAAGATGGAGGACAAGGACTTCCCCTCAACTTGCTCTAAAAAGAAAGGTATCACTCACTTTGCAGGTAGTTTGCATGGGATAAAAGACTCTGAAAACAGAGCAATAAACAGAAAAAAAACTAATAGATATTAAAAAAATTAAGTGTGTGTATGTAAACAATATTTTTTTAAATATAATCTATAATTTGAAAATAACAGATTGTCATATTTGTGATTTAAAATGTAATTTCTATAATCTAAATAACATGCATAACAAAGTTATTGCATAACAATAACAAAATAACATCCCATTTTATTACAAAGAACTTAATTTCTGAACTTATTTGTTTAGCTTTCTTTGTATGTATGGATTACTTGGATTGTTACCGACATCTGGTGAAAATTTCATGCCAACAGCACCTTTAAAAATATATTTACTGAGAAAAATGGTGATGTGTTCAATACTTATTTTACCTGCTGTGTGTGTGTGTGTATATATATGTATGTATATGTGTATGTATGTTTTATATATAGAGAGAGAGAGAGTGAGAATATTTGAAATATATTTTACATTTAATACATTTACATAATAAAATATTAATGTATATTAGAATTATTGAATTGTTAAATTATGAAAATTATTAAACTTTTAAAATAAAATGTAAAAATAATAAATATTTCTTTAAAGAAAAATGATTAGGGTTATGTATGAATTTTGTATATGTGTGTGTGTATATATATATGCTATTTGTTTGTTTTTCCATTATTTTGTGTTCACAAATAACTTTGTTGCTTGAGAGGCTGATTAAAATATAATTTGTTATTTAATATAAATGTAAATATATATGTGTATATGAGAGAGAGAGAAATAATATTTGGAAAAATGCATATATTTTAAATGTTAAAAACATTAAATTTTTTAAATAATATATATTAGAATTATTAAATTCTAAATGATTGAATTGTTAAATTATTAAAATTATTAATTTAAACTATATATATAAAAAAATTTTTTTTTTAATTAATCAGGGTTATATATGAATTAGTCGATATATGGAATATATTATCAGAATATGTTTATTAATAAAATATATCTGCTATTATCTCCATTTTTTGTGATCTCTAATGGCTTTTTGCTTCCGAGGCTGATGGATAAATCTTTCCCTCTCTCTACAGCAGACCGCAAGAGTTTCTGTACCATCCATAGCACTGGCTACCTGAAAAGCTGGCCGCCCACCAAGATGGGTTTAGACGAGGATAACGAACCCGATAATGAGGGCTGCAACCTCAGCTGTCTAGTGGCCATCGGCCGCCTACACCCACATATCATCCCCCAGCCCATGAACGGCGACATCCGTGTCAAACCCACAGAATACGTCTCCCGCCACGCCATCGATGGCAAGTTTGTTTTCGTCGACCAGAGGTGAGAAGGTGCTTTTAGATCCATCTTACATCATCAACAAGAATCATCCATTTGTGAGAATCTTTTATAGGGCACCAGCTAAAATTTTCTATGCACTTCTAAGGTTCAAAAGACCGCTAATAATGTGTGTGGTGAGCAGATTTGATAACTCGCTAAAGTGAGATTTGAATTGTCAGAAACCTCAAGGGTCTACAAGTATTGATTTCAGTTCATGTCAGTGAATTAGCATCTCATTTAATCCACTAGTTTATCACCGCAATTCATTGTTTCCATTTAGGGCGACAGCCATCTTGGCGTACTTGCCTCAGGAGCTTCTAGGAACGTCATTTTATGAGTATTTTCATCAGGATGACATCGGACACCTCGCCGAGTGCCACAGACAAGGTTTGTGTTTTATTGGCTCGATCACTTTATTCATACTGTTTGGAAATGATTGTTTAAAAAGTACTTAACTATTATAATGGCATTTGTAATAAATGCTCATTTGCTTTTTTACTTCAGTGCTACAGATGAGAGAAAAGATTAATACAAACTGTTACAAATTCAAGATAAAAGACGGCTCTTTCATCACTCTGAGGAGCCGCTGGTTCAGCTTCATGAACCCCTGGACCAAAGAGGTGGAATATATCGTCTCTACAAACACTGTGGTTTCGTAAGTGTCACGTCACATTATGTTTGTGAACGTTTGTGTAAATAAGAAGGTGCTCAACTGAAAGGATTAAGTCAACCCTCTTTCTTGAATCATGCAGAGGAAATGATCACAGGCCCGGTTGAATTCATGATCTAATAAATTTGCCATTCATACACTACTTCAAAACTCAAAACTGATGTTATTGTACACAAATAATTAGTGCACGTGATTCTAAAAATGAAGTAACATCATTTACCTTAAAAACAGCATTTCCGATAACATAATGTTGAAAAATATGATTTAAAAAAATAACATTGATTTAGTTTGTGTTACATGTATAATTTAATCAATTAAATTATATAAATATAATATTAAATTATATATATATATATATATATATAGTGACCCTGCAGCACAAAAGCAGTCTTAAGTCGCTGGGGTATATTTGTAACAATAGCTAAAAAAATCATTGTATGTGTCAAAATATACATTTTTCTTTTATACCAAAAATCATTAGGATATTAAGTAAAGATCATGTTCCATGAAGATATTTAGTAAATTTCCTACCGTAAATATATCAAAACTTCATTTTTGATTAGTAATATGCATTGCTAAGGACTTCATTTGGGCAA